TTTTTTTTTTTTTTTTTTTTTTTTTTTTTTTTGGTGGACTCTGTTTAGATCTCCAGGGCTATAAGGGTCCCAGTATGTAAACATAGTATGCTTTTTCAATTGTAACTCAGTCGAAAAAAATAGAATGTAGTGACAGGAAAGAAGATTTAGAACAACCCGTGAGGATGAGCGGCTCTCCCGCAGATGTTCCAGCCTCTGTACCATGACTTTGAAAGGCGACTCGCCGTGAAGACGCCTCTTCCTCTTTACCACAGCAAAGCTCAGTAAGCACTGAGTTGCTCAGAACAGCAGCCCCGGGTCTGTTTTAGGAAGAAGGACGCCCAGGGTTGGCCCTGCCTGTACACCTGCCTCTCTGCCCCGACTGCAGCCCAGGCCCCGCCCTTGGGAGGCGCCCACGGACAGCTGTGCCCTCCAAAGCGCTTGCACCTGCTGCTCCTCAGTGGGAATCCCAGGTGGACGGACCAGAAGGGCAGTAGACCGCCTGCCTCTCGTGAGCACTCCCAGCTCGTGCCGGACCCCCACCCAAGCTGGTGTGGCTGCGCCTGGTCACCCGCGGCTCCTGAGTGCCAGGGGCCCGAGCCGCAGAAACGCTGCAGGGAGAGCACAGCCTGCGCAGGACAGCCTTCGTGGGTAACTGGGCAACGTAAAATGCTGAGAACCCTTGTAGGGCGTGAACACACACAGAGCTGGCTGCTCCGTGGGGATCACTTTGTGGTTGATTATTCTGCATTTCGTCATAAGCAATTAATCCTAAAACTGTGGACTGCCGAGCCCTACTGTTCAATAGACTGATTAGCACCGCTCTGCATTACCACATCTGTTTCGATGGAAGAGGACCCACAGGTTGGGGTACGGTGTACTTAATCCTCTCATTAGTTACGTACTAAAAATCACACAGGCTTGCATGCCCAGTGGGCTTTGCTTCTTGCCTTACATTTTAAGTGATTTTAGTAACAGGTTATGTAGTTCCTGCTTTATTTTGCATTAGTGAGAATTATTTAATGTCACTTTGGCAAGAATTGGGTTTAAAAGATTCTTCTTTTTCAGAATTTCTTTGCAAGGTTTTATGTAAAAATAAACTTGTGCCTTTTAACTTTAATCCAAAAATATTTAGCTTTCCAGTTGTACTTTCTCTGATTTATAAGCTTCAGGAATTTCATGGTAGGTCATTTTCATGAAAACATTTGAGTTCTTTTATGTACCACAACAAGGAATAAAAATAGCAAAAATACACTGAACATGCACAGCTATGAGATGCTACAATGTGACTGTGAAATCTGAAATTCTTCTAATTATTAATTTTTCTTAGTACAGAATAGAAAACATCATTTTAACCAACTCATATCATTTAGTGCAGTGCAGTCAAAAGGAAGTGAAAAAAGCTATAATATGCAAAATGAGATTATCACAAAAACTATTGGGTATAATTTTAGAGGAATCAATAGCAAGACAAATGAAGTAATAACCACACATTTATAAACATTCTGTTTCTTCTTCAGTTTTTGGGTGATACAAATCGTTTAAGGTCACTTTCTTTGATAATAAGCATTGTAATAGCTGATCAAAATATGAAAAGGTAAAATAAGAACAAGTGAGCTTTTCAAGTCTTAGGCCCTTGCAAAACCAAGCAGGTCAACATCTAACTAATTCTGCAAACAAATTCAATTTTTAGAAGGCAAAACTATTAAATGACTTATGACATTTTAGCAAGAAAACATATCGAGTTCTAACCATTTTTATTGTAATCAATATTCAATGGATAGCAATGGGCCAGCCTTTTACTGTGTTAACATCTTCGAAAGTTACATTCACAGCCTTTAATTTGAAACAAATGAAAATGCATACCATTTAACTTTAGCACCTATCATTTTCTTATATTTTTTATTTCAAATAAGAATAAAGTTCCCATTCTAATAGAGAAGCAGCTTTTCAAAATCCAACTAATGATAAATAGTATTTGCAATGCCTCTGAGAATGTTCAGCATCAGATGTAATTGGATAGTCGACAGCTTTAAACCTTTCTACCTTTTGTCTGAATGAAGGACTTCCGTTTGACTTCTTCCAGCTGCTGGAATGACCGGATGTGATAAATGCATGGCCAAGGTCCCAGCTCACATTTCAGTCAGGGCTAGATGAACCCGCTTTAACCAAGCTCCTAATATGACACAGAGCGAAGGGCTACGTGCTTAACTGAATTAAGCAAGCACTTGAACACGGTAACTAATTTTTCATCTGTTCTAGTGTCAAAAGATGAAATTTTGCCACTGACAAAACATGCGAAAGGAAAGAGGATAAAAGCACTTGCACATTCGATGGCGTACTGCACTCGGAGATGCGTTACCAGTCCACCTGGGGTACTCCCTGTCACACTGAGGGGACCCCGTGTGTGTCAGCCAGGGATGGGGACCGAGGATGTCCTCAGAGTGACTGTTAGAGCCATCCACAGAGAAGGGTTTGGCTCCAGATGCACGTCGCTCTTTCTCATTGAGAGGCCAGCAGATTCAGCAGGGAGAACGCTTACTGAAATGCTGTACTGTGTGTACAGTATTTCATCTGTACTTAATGCTAGAGAAACAACTACAGGAGCCATGGAGAGCTGTCTGAGTCCGTGCGGGTGTCACGCTGGTCTTCCTTACTGGTTCCCACCCCCTCTTTATCTTCTACTTACTGATCATGACAGACACAGTGTTCACGCTGGGGTTGAAAGAGCAGCGACCTTTGCCAGATTCACACTTGGAGTCGATCATGAAAACTTGGTCCTTTGTAGCAGAAAAAAATATACAGGAATAATAATACAGTAAGTATCATGCCGAGCAGTAAAGACGATCTGGTTAAAAATGTTTGTTTGTTTTCTTTAATAAGAGAAAGCACACCGAAAAGAACAGGCTTCTCCTGGGTTGCTGGTGCCTTCCCAATTGGCCATACTGAGTAAGGCTCACTCTCATGAGGAAAGGAGAATCTGTCTGCAAACGCAGCAGCCTCACTGGGTGGTGCTCACCTATTTCCCTCTCCAGGGAGCCGACCTGCCAGGGTCCCCTCAAATCAACATCACTGAAATCACGTGGAAATCGAGGCTCGTTATTAGAAGGGTTGAACATCACCCACCCATGAACAAGGTAGGGAAAGACTGACATATTTCTAACACAGGTTTTTTTAAAAATAATAATTTTGTCACTACTTTGTTAAATAAAACACTGTACAGGATTCAGGCATAATAGTTTAGATTAAATGTCATTTAGTTCCTTATCTATTTATTTATTTACTTATTTAGAAAAATTTTATTTTATATCTACCAGGTGCCAGATGCTACATTAATCGCAGGAGATACAATAAGCAAAAGTCAAAAACTTGGTCCTGGAGTAATTTATGACCGAACAAGGAAGACAGAACATCAAGAAAATAAATACAGTTACAGCATGTCAGCTGGCATTGCATGTTTGGCAGAAGCATTAAGGAGATTAAGGAAATAGAAAAAGCAGAAGCCAGAGCTAATAGGCTGCACCTGAAATGCGGTGGTCATGTGGCCCTGAGGGGGACATCTTGGTAAAAATATTTACCTTTTTCTTTGTGCAAACTACCACTAAAAATAAGGGAGAAATGTTCCCTTTTGTTGGCTGTTCAGATGATGGGAGGCCTTGATTATTAAGCTAAAGTTTTTAACAATTCTCAGGAAGAAACATAGGCTCAGTAATATTTATGCATGGAAATAAAAGGATCAGAGAGCACTGATCTAAGAAGGTTTCATCTTGTCTTGAGCTTCAGGAAGCCTGGGAATAAGACACAAAACAGATACCAGATTCAGGAAAATGGGTTCCTTTCCTATCGTGCCATTCCGGAAACTGGACCATAATAATCCACCATGCCATGGTCTCCGCAGTCAGGGTTAGAGCAGCAGAAATGTGAAATAATTATTATAGTGACAATCAGTAGAGCACAGCGATCGATTTGAAATTGGTTTGGGAACATTTTTAGTTTTGTAGAATTGTGGCAGTTTGAATCCTTGAAATAAACATTTTTGTCACATGGAGGAGCATGGTGTGCTGATTCTAGGTCAACACACGGTGATGGTGCTTTAAAAAGAATCCCAGCCCAAGCCTGTGGCATTCTCCTCGTTCACAAATTCACTCCAGGGACGGTGAAAATGTGGCTTGCGCAAGGTCAGGGGGCGAAAGGGGACGAAAGCAAAAGTGAAACGCACTTCATGGCCCCTCACTCTGTCTGTTTGCCAATCACCGGTAGAAACCCAACCCAGCTCGCAGGCTAGAGCAGGGACGGAGCCCAGTCGGCAACCAGTCTGCGCTGCCCTGCCTGAGACCGTCTGGCACTATCACCCCTCGCATCCCCATGCTGCACGCGGTCGTAACCTCTGCCTCTCCACACCGGCCTCCAAGCCCCTACACTTTACACAAAGCACCCCGAAAGTACATTCAACATAGTACAGAACTGTCGCCACCAGCTCTGACTGATCCCGCCACACGGACACTGAGCCAGCTTTCAAAGACGCTTCCACCAGCTAAAACAGCTCTGCCGCTAAAACGTGTCCTTTGCCACTACAAATCCTATCTCATTTGATCTCATAATGTTCTCCGCTCTTATTATTTCCAACTACTGTACCGACAAACTGAAGCCCTTAAGTGAAACATCTTCAACTTTTCACTACAGGCATACACACCCCACTAATACACGACCGGAGCTATTTTTCTGACTTTAAAGTTGATACTTAAACCAATGCTTTGATTTTCATCTTAACCAATATTTTTAGGCACTTGTTGTTTTCCCTTCTGTTGTTCCTTCTACAGACACACACACACACACACACACACACACACACACACACGTGCGTGCTAGTGTTATTGACTGGATACTCAATATCATCATTTTTACCCCGCCAGATTTCACACATCACTCCTGTGAACCATGTTTTTCAGAGACCATAGATCTATTCATCTCCATTGCCCAGCTTCTTACTTTATTCTGTATCCCCTTTAACTGATCATCTAACCTTGATTTTTCTTTTGAAACACTTTTTGCTAACACACTGTATGACAAAGATGTTAAAGATATTTTTGTTTTCTCTGTTTGAGGTACGGTCTCCCTATAACCCCCAGGCTGGTCTTGAACTGGTGGGCTTGAGAGATCCCCTGGCCTCAGCCTCCCCCAGTACTGGAAGCAGAGTCCTACACTGGCTTGGTGCTCATGCTCTTGAACTCAGCCAATCCGTATTCCTAGTGGTTTACAGAACCCTCTCCGTGAGGTGCCGGTGACACACCTGAAATCCCAGCTCATCTGGCAGCCAAGGAGGGAGGAGTGCAACTCTGAGTCCAGCCTGAGTGGTTTAACAAGACCAGGTCTACAAACAGAGGGAGGGGTTATCAAGCAATTCCTTTCTTTTTTAAATAGCTCACTTTTAGTCCCCAAACCAACAGTCTCTCCTGCTTTTTCTCCTGCTTCCAAAGCTGCTGCTTCTACGTTTCCTTTTTAAAGTCCACTTCCCTTTGCTGGACCACGACAGTTAGGATATTCCCAATTCTCTCATAGCTACTCTTCTGCTACATTCTTGCTGTGCGATCAAATTATAGCTTTCTGGGGCATCAGTTATTCTTTAAAAAACAAGAAGTCACACATTCCTATATCCGCTTTCATATTCAGCTGGGCACTTGGTGTTCTACTTGCCATCTTTCAATGGCATCTCAGATTTAACGGACCAAACCTAAACTCATACTCTACTCCAACCAGGGCCTCTTCACAGCTTCTGGTCTCAGTTTCTGGCAACCATGTAACAAGCAGTAAAAACCTCACCACCTGTTTCATTAGAGAGTTACCTTTCTACATCAGAATCCACAGACATCACCTGCGCCATTCCGTATTTGGTGCCTCCTTGTCTCTCTGGCCCTCCCTGAGAACAGTAATTGCTTTCTTCACCTACTCCCTGAAGTCCCTTGCTGATCTCTCCACAGCTCTCCCAACCCCTCCCGTCACCCCAGATCACTTTAACACAACCCACAGACCAACAAAATTCTGTTGCTACCCCCATCTGGTTAGGACCGTGCTAGCTATTTTTCTTTTGACACACGAGAAAGATCAATATTTGAGGGAGACTGAGAGTTTTGACATGGATTATTTCTACCTTGGTTCTCATTAAACAAATAACATTAGTGCGCTGAGTCAATAAGAGAAAAAAGCAGATAGTAAAAAATTAGAACAAAGGTGGGAGAAAATGCCCTACGGTCAAAGATGTCAATAAATGCATTGATTACAGAGGGCATGTCCCAAATTTAAAGTATGGATTGGCCTTGGAGAAGGCAGCCGGGTTTGGTCTTCATGTTGAAGTGCAAGCTGTGTTAGAAAGCTTCAACAAAGACAGGGACAGCAGGCGCATGAGAGGACATTCGGAGAGGTCTGGTGACAGAGTGCAAGAGGGAAGCACGAATGTGTAGAACAAAAACAACATGTTAAGGAAACATAACAAAATCTTCATTTTTAATTAGGGGGCAAACGGAAGAGAAATGAGGATATTAAGTATAGCGAAGTTTGTAGGTGGCAGGGATTTATCGATAAGGAAAATGCACAGACAGACACTGAAATGGCATAGTCTGGAGACAGCTGCCCCGACAAGGACGGGGATAATGCGGGCGCCCATGATATCGCTGATGGAACAAAGGTAAAGTAATCTGCGTGAGGAGTGGCAGGGTCAGAGGCTCACGTTATGGCGTGGGGACATCTGATAAAACTAACCAGGGGTGGGATGTGGTAATATTTCAAAAGTGTGCAGCAAAATGAATTAATCTCTGGGTTGTTTTCTTTTAATGTTTTGCTCCTTACTTTGTGGTCATGGCTTATTTGTGTTGCTTTATCTTTTTTTCCAGAAGCACAAGACAGGAGAGAAGCACAGTAGCTGGAAGAGAAGAACTGCAATGGGTCTGGACGTAGCATGGGCTCTAGGTGGGCACGGTGGGTGCTCCAAGGAGCTCTGAGTCCACCGAGAAACCAAGGATGGGGACAGCTGGAGCCCACAGTGCTCCAGGTGAAAGCTTGGCTCCCAAGTGAGGACCCCCGAGCTTTTATAATGATAAGCAGTAAAGAGGTGGAGGGAGATGACTAAGAAACCAACTGAGAAGGGAGGAAGTGTGCCAGCCTGACCGAGTTCACTCTGACATCGGTTTGAAGGTATGCAGGAGGCTGTGTCTTAGGAAGAACACGGGGTGTGATCAGGATCCGTGGGAAGCCCAGTGTTAGTGCTGAGCAGCCTGAGGACTCTCTCAGGACAAAACGAGTCCTGTGCTGTGATCATTACCTGCGAGGGGATCGGTAATCCAGAAATATAAGAATACAAGTGCATGCAAAGTTTGACAAAACTGTCTAGTTCCGTATTTACACGATGGTTTCTATAGGGAAAATAGACTAAAACGATGCCACGGCTGTACAGGCAAACACAGCACTTGAAAATCATACATCTTTCATATCCCCGTTGTACCTCATTCCCATATCATTTAAGATATTACTGTTTCCCATATTATTTTAGTGACTACTTTAGTTGATGGAGATGCTTCCACCTTTGAAAGGTGTCTTTTGAAGTGAGACTGATGTAGTTCATGTTTAGCAAAGTGATTATAATTTCTTCCCCGCTGGCTCTACAAAGGAGATGATTTTGTGGGCAGACTTTCTAATTAAACCTTCACGTGCGTAGTGGGCAGTTTGCACATGGGAAAATGATTTTATTTAAAACCTGTGGTCTGAACACTGCTCTGATGTTGTTGTTGGCCTGTGCAGTGAGCACAGACTTCGGGGAGCATCTGACAGACTGCAGACTTTGTGGGCAGTTTATTTAATCAATGGATTCCCGGCATGGGGTCCTCAGGACGAGCTCAAGGCAGCCAGCTGACTTGTCCAAGAAGCATAACTCCTCCATAAGAATATTAACATCTCATAGCATCCACAACCTCACCTGGAAATGCCTCCACTTGGGCTCAGCAATCATGACTCAGTCATTTCTAAATGATTTTTAACGCATCAAAATGTATGTGTACAAATTCTTAGTCTCACAACATCATTTAATAAAAATGGAATACAAAAGCAAAGGCTGTTCTAGTTCCTGAGTACCAAAGTGGGTTAACTCATGTGAAAGGAAAATAAATTTCATGCAGTATCTTAGTAGCAACATTTAATCTTTCCACTATTTTCAGTTCCAAAATAAATGGAGATACTGCGTAAGAACTGGACTTTTAAATGTGTGTTGTAAAATGAAACAAAGAAAGATCGCCTGAAAGAATTTCAGTTTTCAAAATGGTTATAACAAGTAAAACAATGAGTCTGACTCAGAGAATGAGGAAAACTGCTCTATCTTCTGTGTAGCCCTCAGCCGACACTTGTGGACGGAGATAGTAAACAGAGCCTTCAACTGCACAGCTGAAGGTCAGCCGGCCTTCTATTCCTTCTGCTTGACCACACAGTGGCTATGTATTTACCTAGTCTTTTACAAACACCATTTCTTCGTGTCCATACCATTTTAACTCCTGAAAGAATCAGGAACATGTAGCTGAGTGCAGGGCAGTGTTGGTCTTAAGTGCACGTCTGGTTCATGCATTCACAAAGTTCTTTTCAGAATCTTTCTCTATACATAGGTCAATACCTCATAAGGGTTATTGAATTTGAAAGACAAGTAAGAATTAGTTAAAATAAGTTTAAGAAAGTAAGTGCATAATACAAGAGTTGTATAATCTAATGTTTTCAGTGCTTTACAGAGTCATATAATATTTGCATTCTTTTACAGCTTTTACACATACAAACACATGTGTTTAGATTGAAGGCAGAAGAGTATATATTGAAAGTTTATTGCCAGATAAAAGTTAATACACTTGGTGTTTTAAAAACATGAAATAGCCTAAGGATAGTAATATTTCCAAATTTATTTATTTATAGCTATGTAATAAAAGTAGATATTAATAAAGAAAAAAATTTAAGAAACAGTCTTCTTACTTCTATGAAAAAAAGCCAAATTCCATAACAAATTAATTAAAGAATAATGTTAGTTAGCACACTGTGTACCATAATCTTAAAAGAATGGCCAAAATGTTAAGAGTACAAGTCATAGACAAAAAAGATTCCCACAAAAAAGGAACAAATAGATAACAGCACAAAACTTTCTTTTCAGTCATCTAAGAGGACCTAGCAGCACAAATGAAGCAAGCTAGCATATATATTGAAATCTTTTTGGAACCACGGAATGTATTCTTTGGAGAATTATTTGAACTTCTCCCTGCTTCCTACTTCTCTGTCTCCTTTTCCTTAAGTTTTCTTTACATTTAATAGAAACTGTGTGCAGTAAATTTTTACTGTACTTTAGGTAAGATAGCCAACACTGTTCAACATCAACATCAAAAGGAGGAATGGTAAAGGCCACATTACCTCGGATCTCCGGCCTCGGTTCACGTACGTGCAGACAGGGCTGAAAGCTCCACTCCCACACACATACAAGTGGGTGCGGTTGAAAACCTGAATTACACGGACGAAATTCCCACAGCCGTGCTGGAGGAACAGACAGGAGAGCAGTTAGTGACTTCACGCCTTTTGTCACTACTTCTACTCACTATGTTAACTTGAGATTGTATGTGACCCATAACAACGGGTGATAGCCGCTCTTGATGGATCTATCTTTCCATATCCTTGAGAAACTATGTGTACTTCACAAAGGGGATTTGGGGCTCGTGACTAGGCTCCTGGAAGTACCAAGTCAATCATTAGCATTCAATGCCATAAGAGGGAAAAGACTCCCACATAGTCGAGAACATTGGACAAACCGTACCACTACCGACAAGCAACCTACTCAGCTAAGCAAGGTTGTCACAGTGGCCTAGTTTTTCTGTTTCTATGTAAGTGTTTCCCAAGTCTAGAGGCTCAAGTGAAAATGCTCTCAAATGTACACGTGCCATTGTGAAGTAAATAGAATTTACATGTATTGGGCTGTGCATTTTTATTTCTGTTCTTTTCCCCCATATGATAGGTGATAACATTGAGGAAATGATAAGAGAAAAATGGTTTATTACATTAATTTTAGGAAAGTAGGAATCCACCTCAGGTTGTACTGAAAATACCTACCTCATGTGGTGCCATTTCATATATAGTACCATATACGTTTCTATTCTGGTATTTATAAACTTACTCTTTACACGTCATTGCCTCGTACATGAACACTCAGATTACACAAACTCGTTTCTAGTAAAAGCGGCCTTCCTTACCCTCCTCCTCGCTGTGAGCACACAGTGACAGACAGGACTCATCCTTACATTTGGGGAATACAGCTAACAAAAGTGCCAGTGTGACTGTTGCCTTCCTCAGGAGTGATTCATTCTCTGTACGTACCCATGATCCCCTGAAAGGCACCTTCCCATCACAGAACCTCCCTTCTCACCTGACAGAACAGCTCCCCACTGGGGAGTCATTTCCTCATCCAAAAATGCAGCACAAGTGATCACGTTCATCTCAAATCGAGCGTGAGGTGTAAGAGTCCTTAAATTCACAGTGGCCGGGTTAACCTGCCTGGCCCACATTCTCTGGGCTCTCCCTCCATTGCTGATTATAAATTGATCCAGCCCAAGATTGACTGTTGGCCCTTCAAAAAACCGCTTTCTTTCAAAGCACATTAGTGGAAATAATTTTTGCCACAGAGGAAGAATTTTCATGAACGAGAAATGCTTCAAAGATCAACAGTTTTTGCCTGAGTTGTCAGACCACACATTGCCTCGTTATTCTTTTAGGTATGCGCTACTTTTGAGACGCTAACTTATATCTATTATTTACATTACTGCAAAAGTCAAACGATGCAAACTTTATTGAAGTTGAAGTCAAGATTCATTTAAAGTCAAGATTATTTTGCTTTTTTCCTCATTTTTTATATTCATTTCTACTTGTCAGCTAATTTGTTTCTTTTCATACATACTAATTTCATACAGATGTTTCTGTTATAGCTTTTTCATTAATAAATAACCAGTCATGAGCTGTACTGTCAAAGAAATTAATCTTTCCAGACCAGACTGTACATTTTATTTGCATGTTGAGACAGTAAGGATTTTTGTGAAATATACACTGTCATTGTATCTTGACACCTGTTTATAGAGGTTGACTGTGTAAGTGCAGATGATAACACGACTCCCTGGAGAGACATGTGGATAGAGTATGGTTTGTATATAATATGCTATGTTAAGAAGATCTGTGAGCAAGGAGACTTGTGCTTACATTTTTCACCTTCGAGGCTAGTGCTTCTGGGGTTCTGTACAGAATACTTTCCCACAAGACATGAATTCAATCTAATTCTTTTAATGTCTCATTTTGGGTTTTGTGGACAATTTACTTTCATGGATCCCTGATATTATAAGAAAAGAAGAAAAAATATTTTTATATTTTACATACAGGCTCTATACCTCTATACTCATACGAATTCATTAGATTATTATTATAATTATTACCATTATTACAACTATGTCTCTTTAGAAAAATAAAGCTTAAAAGTTTTCTTAATTTCCCTGCCCGAGGTCACAGAGGTAGAAACTACAGAGCAGATTTTCAAATACATGAAGTCCTAAGTTGAATTTTGGGCTTGTGGTCTGTCACATTATAGTTGCCACTGTGTGTGAGAGGAATCCAAGACTGTTTTTGTAACAGTTATTAATATGTCAGTAACTTTTTAGACTTCTTTCAACATATTTTAACATTTATAAATCTTTTCACACTTAGATGCGGCTTGCGTAAATTCTCAGCGATGCTCTAAATACCACTTAAGTGATGATGAAGTCGGGTCCCAGAGAGATTAACGGGAGCGCTCTAGGGATGATGAAGTCCCAGGCCTGCCCTGGGAGCCCCCGCCAGGGAGACTACCTAGGCCGCTGTGTCGTCACAGCCGACAAATATTTCCTCAACTCGCTCTGTGCAAAGCACTGCCCTCGGTGTTCGCAGCACTGGGAGGGACAGAGCAACTTCCTGTTTTCAAAGAAAGAAGAGAATAGCAAAGCAGGCAGTGATGGGTACTGCGGACGTCAGCAAGGAGAAGATACTGTGTTCCTGTGGTCCAAAGCCTGAGGCAGAGGCGGCACTGGAGCTGGTCCTGCAGAAGGCGGGGACTGTGAAGGGAGGGAATTCCAGCAGGAAGCAGCGCGATCAAAAGCCTAGGCGAAGAAGTAAGGACGGGATGGTGCCTGCGCCGCGGGAGGAGTGCTGAGGAGCCAAGACAGTGGTAAACGGACGTGGCCGTCCGCCCCCATCCTGTCCTCAGGTGGGCAGCAGAGAGACGTTATTCATTCAGATCTGAGAGCCACATGCCCCGAGTTCGAACCCCAGCTGCACCTTTGCCCGGCTGTTAGAAACTGCGGCAGTTAGGCAGACTTTCCGTGACCCTGTCTTTCCATCTGCGAAATGGCAATGATAACACGGGTTGTGAGCTATATATGAATAAAGGGAGTCAGATTCTCACATATTAGATTTTTCCCTTAACATTTTTATTTATATTGTACATATAGACCGTGGGAAGTGGAAAGCGGACAGGGGAAAAAAACTTGAGATTTTAGAGAACAGAATGCTTTCTTTCCATTGTTTCATTCTCTTCTTGGTGGACCAGTAAGGCAGCTCACCTTATGCAGAGTATGATAACATTTCATTTCATGTGTGGGCACACATCTGTATAAGAACACCCTGGGAGAATGCACTCTCTAGCACTGGGAGTGGCCGTGCTTCTGTAACACGATTTATTTCAGTGTTTACTGTGTGTTATATAGCATTATTTTAGCTCTATGCGTATGTTACTCACTGATTATCTGAATAGCCAAATAAGACTCTGTGATTGGCACGTCCCAGATAAGGAAAGCAAGGCCCAGAGAAGTTAAGTCTCCAGGGTTAAATAGCTAAGAAGAGATGGTTTGTCTCCTGTGACTTTGTATGTTCTTTTCTGGACTTTTAAAGATTTCTATATTGAACATATATTGCTTAAGTAATATGAAAATATATGTTTTTAAAATATATCTGGGAGCAGAGGTAAATGGGCTTTAAAAATATTGATTCTATGAGGTTCATATTATGCTGTTAAAAAAGGATACTTTTTTTTTCTTTCTTGGTCTATACCTACTGGATAACGGCCAGGAATTGTGGCAGAGATTCCTAAAGAATCTTAAAGGAGTATAGGATCATCTAGTTACATAAGTAAGGAAACTGATATTAAGTAATTAATAAATAAAAATTGACATTGTGTGCATATCACGTATATATGCCTGTATCTCTCTATCTATCATGGATTAATTTTTTCATGATCTCCTAAGTATTTCCCTGTTTCATTCATTAAATCTTAGATCATCAGATACGTTTGACAACATGTGCTATTGACTATACTCAAATTACTGCTTGAATAAAATATTAGCATTTAGAAGTAACAGAGCGAGCAGGACGTGGGTTTGCAGAGTGCCATGAGTTGGGCGGGTACCTGAGCACGCTGGCTTGGTTGGGGGGTTTACTCCTCAGTGTCACAGGGCAGCACTCAAACTGACTCTGGTGGGTTTTTTGTTGTTGTTGTTTGGTACCAGGGGTTGAACTCAGGACCTTGTTCTTGCAAGGCAGGCGCTGTGCCACTGAGCTAAATCCCCAGCCCTTCTGGTGGTTTTGGAAAGAGATTAGGTCATCTGGGTACAACTCTCATGATTAAAACTCCTAGTAGCTTGCTAATAAGAGGGACACACACACACACACACACACACACACACACACACACACACACACACACACTTCCTGTGCCACTTCGAGATCCTTCCGTGAGGAAGGCCACCACAGACAAGAGCCAAGCCCAGTGCTGTGCTTTTTTACCCCCATCCCTGAGAGCTTAATGACTTCTTTAGTTCATAAGGTTACCCTGCCTCAGTTATTTCATTATAGTTAAGAAAAGTTGATTAGCACAGAGGGGAAGGGAGAGAAATGGAAAATAAGTTTTAATGTCGTTAGCTGAAGCTGAAAATTTGCTCTATTTCTACCATTTATCTATATTGTAGATCTTATGTATTATAGGGTTGTGGTACGTATTACCTGGGATCACATTTACGTTATATTGCATTCTCATCTCATAATTGTTAATTTTTTTATAAGCTCGATTAGAATTTGACACAACTAAAAAATCTGAAAGATTAAGGAAGGCTTGATCCTGTTTTATTTTCCCTTTCAATTGTTAAAACAGTATGGGTTTTATTTGCCACTACTTTATATTTTGCTTGACAGGTGATTAATATTTCTATGAGCTAAAGACATTTAATAGAAACATACTTCTGAACTATACGCTTACGAATTTTCTCCAAACTCACTGCTCTGAGAGAGTGAATGGACGTTTGTCAGAGGCACTGTGTCGCATGCCCAGCCCCTGAAGATCGCTTGGAGTAGAGCCCCGTGTTTAACCGTGTCCAACTCCATTGATTCAGAGCTCTTCAAATTTTAAGAATTGTCCATGCACAGAGCTGGGCATGGGGGTGATGACACTGGTCGAGAAGGCCTTCCAATCAGGAGGGTGCACTTCCCATCAACATGCAGCAGCAGAGTGCTGGCCTGTGTCGGGGCACCCCTGGGGGGAGGAAGCTCTCCTGGGAACCAACACACACACTCCCACCCAGAAGGACGGGTCGAGCGCATCTTTTCCCCGCTAAAAGCACCAGAAGATAATCAGATAAAGCAGAAGGCACTCAGATGTGACATACACCAGATGCTGCGGGGAGAGAGAGGGAGCGCACGAGGTCTATTTGAATTTCGGTGTCATTGAAACAAAATAGGGGAAAAGGTTAACAGTGGATCTTATAGGATTTTCTCCAAGTCTGCTGAAGCCTTCCAAAATATTCCAGCTGCACTGTGCTTGAGGTTTTGCCTGTGCTCTCAGTGTGGGCCACTTTCTCCTAGGGAGGTGCCAGTTTTAGTGGCAAAGGGTGCAGGACGTAGAGCATTGCGTCCTGGATCAGGCACAGAATGTCCCAGGCGCTTTGAGTAAATTCCCCTCTCTTAGTAGTTTACTTTCTTTATCTTAAAGATGTGGGTGGTGACAGAAATGTCTACCTTGTAGCACTGTTATCAGGACTAAGTAAAGCAGTTAGAACAGTGCCTCTCCTGTTCCACGAAACGCTGGACATCAGTATCCCGCAATTACTGTACACGTCATTGTCACCCCCGCTGTGCAGGAAGGGCTCTGAAATGGAGCCTTTATTCACCTCTAGTTTCTTCACAATAACTGCTGCATGCAAAGGAAACTTTTCCACTCCCAGGTTTTTAAAAATTAAGTATTAAATTACTAGACGACATTCATTTGAATCCTATGAAGACTTTCTGAAATACGTGGTTTCACTGGTACGTAAAATGAAAACAAGTTGTTCTGTAGAAGTTTCCAAGATCTATTTCACATTATTTTTCTCCCACTGGCTTATTTTTGTGGCTAATTAAAAGGTACTTCTCTGGAAATCCAACTCACTTACAGCCCAGAAGAAAATGGATGGATTTATTAGATCTCTTCTTCTTCCACTTAGAGAGAATAAGTATTTGAAAAAATCAGTTTGGGTATTACTTCACGGTACTCTGCAGTGATGTGCAGCAAACAAAACCTGTCCAGCCGAGTCCTAAAAGCACCCAGAAGAGAGCCCTTCCCGAGTTGTTTCCTGGCTGTACAGGAAGAATCTACAGATATTGCCCAGCATGAAAAAACTATGGGAAAATGGGAGCATGCGTTGAAGATTTCATCTGACGGCTTTAATTATCACCCAGCGTACAATAGAGGGCTCCTGTTCTCCCCAAGGGAGTGTAAAGTCAAATGGTTTGGCTGAGACTCTTCAGAAAGAGAAGGGTAATTTTTTGGACATAGAATATGCAAAAGTATCTAGACCCTGCCTGTACTGCCCGTGGCAGTTTCTATGAATGAGCTGTGCCAATGGTCTTGAACAAAGGACAATAAATTCTGTTATATCACCACAGAATATAATTGTGGCAACCGGCAAGAAATGATCGGATACACATCCCTGGAAAATGTCTCTTCATGAGGAGGAAAAAAAATAGTTTAATTGGTGTCCAATTACTGAAATAATAGCTTCAGGGGACAAAACATCATTCTCCAAAATATTATATACCATTCTACTATTGAATCTTTGGAAGCCCAGTGCAATGTACTCTTTTGAACATTTCCTCCACATATTTCTGGATTTTTTTCTTCAGGTTTTGGTCCAGGAAATCCTTGGGATCTTGGGGGAAAAGAAAAATCTCCTGGCCGATTTCCTTTGCTTGCTTTTCAATTTCCCATATTAGGTGAACTGTGGAACCCAGAAATCGGGCCCGGGTCTGGATCCCTCTGGGCACTTTCCCTTGCTCAGCACCCATGAGTGGTGCGTGGAGTCCACACTTCCCAGTCCTTCCCCCCCTCCTTGAGCCAGACCGTTCTGGAAGTTTACACTGACTCAGTGAACATAAGTGTCCTTTCCACAAAGGTTAGTTTTTCTTCCCCAAAACTGGTCTAGCCTGAGGAATCTGGAGCACTCGAGACTAAGGCACACATTTCACGCCTGCCAGCATCTCTGGCCTCTGCTCCAATATAAATGCTCAGCCATCATCTTTTGACACAGTGGAGACTTATTTATTACAACCTCGGACAGGGATGTGTATATCCTGGAGGTGTGACCACAACATACGGCCAACGTCGAAATTAAAAATTATTACAGTAAAAGACATGTCGCCATCAACTCCATCAAAATATCTCCCTCACTGAGAACACATTTATCCCACCCTTCTTGCCGCTTCAGGAAGCAGCTCTGGAGTCCTCTTTCGTGAGTGTCTGTCATTGCACTGTCGGCTGCTTCTTTGTCCCGATTTGATTTTAAAACTTTACCTTTCACGCTCAGTTTGATTTTTAGGAAGAGTCAGAAGTTAGAGTGACAGATCTTGTCACACTGGAAAGCTGGAAAGTTTTTAGGATCCTGAGTTCTTCAGTTGGTACACCACGGCAGCACGCACCCTGCGACTCACACAGAAGGGGACTCCAGAACTGCTCCCAGAAGCAGCAGGAAGTAGGGCTACGTGTGTTCCAAGTGAGGGAGTACTTTGAAGGGATTAATGGCAATATTTCTTTTTCTGTAAAAATGTTCAGTGATTTAAATGCATACCATATTTTTTGACCACACCTTGTGTGTAAATTTCCTAGATTTTCTACCCAGTGACCATATTTCCCCCTCATCCTTTAATTAACATGTACTTCCTTGCTTATTAAATTAAGACTTACTTTTCCAACAAGATAATAAGGTTCATTAAACCCAGATCCTTGTCTGTTCTTACACAGTTTAGGTCTCTAGCACCAGCACAATGCCAGATCCATAATGTGGGTCCAGACAGTATTTATTTCATGAATAATTAAGAAACTCTATGAGTGACGAGTAGGACCTCTGTCCACAACTACTTGTGAGATGATTCTGACACTGGCTTCCATTACATTATTATCCATGATTTGTGGCACGATTTGTGCACCCTAACAACAGGCTTCGTGCTTTTCTTTTGTAATATTTACAAATAATTTAAGGTGTCAATGTCTGGGAGACATTTATAGAAATCAATACAGATTTCTTACTTGACCCTCGTTACTGAATCACACTTAGGGAATGTGCTTTGCAGAAGTGTTGTGCCGAACATTTATCAATACTCTTCTCTGCCGGGATGGTAGTTTTGCAGCTATTTTTTAATTAACAAAGTAACATTTGTCACTGGTGACTTATGTCCCTGGAATGTGCCAACTAAACACTAGTGTTTTGCTGAGAATCTCTGGAAGAGCCCCCGCCCGGCATCTGGGAGCTTCTCCAGACATTTGCAATAGCATTATTTCAGCAGCCTGCTGAGGATTCTGCAGGTTGGATCCATTTGGAACAAGGGTTATTACTGAAATCCATCATGCAAAGTATCTGCATGAAATAATAAAAACAAGGCAGGAAATTTTAATCCAGGCAAGAATTCCAAAATTACAGATGGTGAGAATTCTAGTCTCTTCACATTTACATTTCTAACGTATTTCTAGCCAAAGATTTAAAACCTTTGTCTCATTCTTGGCTGCCCTAAAAGTAGAGGGACTGAAAGCCCAAATATTTCAGTTTATTTTTTTATTTTACTTTATTTATTTATTTTTTTTGCTTACCGTAGGATCTTTGCCAGCCATTTTGCACTCTTCAACTTTGATTGTCGATGCTGGCCAGAAAACCTGCTCAGAAAGGAAAACAGAGTTTGCATGCTCTCACTCAGTATAGGGTGGTTCATTGCTTTTCACCTACTTTTTGCTAACAGATTTCCTCTGGGTTATTTATATTTATATTTCAAAATTTTTTTCTCTTTCATGTTATAAACTCAAGTTAATATTCCATTATGTTACAGTAATTATCTTTGTATTACTTCCATCAGTTTTTTCTCTATGCCCGTTTACTAGCCATATGTTAAAATTAAGTTCATAATTAGTAGAATGTGCACAATATAACGCACATTTCACTCTTCCTGACTTACGCTGCAGTTTTCCCAACTGCTTATATCACAGTGCACTTTGTTCATGGTACTATGTAGTTTAATAGTGTTTTTGCTTAACCACAGGGCCTGAGTAGTAGATTTACTTAAAGTGGGTCCCTAAATATTTCCACAGCTGACAGAGCATGGATAAAGCCCTCGAGATGAGATTCTCCCTCTGAAGATGTGCTGTCTGTCTGACACACTGCACACTCTTCAGTCTGGCAGTAAAGGTTACTGCGCTGAGCTCTCAGCATACTGTTCTTATGGACATCACAAGTACCCCTTGCTGTAATCAATTTATAAGTGATCTCCTTTTTTTTTTTGTTTAGTCCCATCAAACTCAGTTTTACATCCACATTGTAAAATAGGATATTTTTACACACTCGTTCCAACAGCCGTGTATCTAACAGCTGCATCCCTTGCAATCCCACTTTGAATTACATACAGGTGACGCACCAGGTCTCTTTTAACCTCACCTTTTGTTTTGTTTTGTCTGTGGAGATGTTCTTCATGTTTCTTTTTCCTTCCTAGATATGCATGTGCAGGAAGTATTTCTCCAGGTTTTATATTGTTAGAATTAGGGAGAGTTTTTAGTTCTTGAAATTAGAGCTAAATCCCTTAATGTACAGTGACATACATTTTATATTGCTTTAATGAATAGTATTCTTCTTTCACCATATTTGAAAAATCTTACCAGAAAAACCCCTAAAAGGTCAACCAATCAAGATTGTCCCCATGAAAATGAGAAACTCACACTCAAAGGTTCTTGACTTATGTTGTTAATATTCAGGGAGAGAATGTGATCTTTGCTGCCCACATAGATCCGGTCCTGATCTTCATCCATGAGTAAAATCCTGTAGTCTAATGGGTGGTTAGACAGGCTGAAGTACTCCGAGGTCTTGGTGGCTCGAAGCTCTGAAATAGTAAACAACTCATGTAAAACTACATCGTCTCGGTTCCATAATTCTACTGTTTTCATAAAGAGTCTTACAGGAAAAAACATTTTTCTTCTACAGTAATAAACTAATTTCGATGCAGCTATGCTAATAGATATTTTAATTATTGCCTTTATGCTAAAGTAAGATGAAGTAAGTGAGGTATTAAAGTTGATGGTGATAGTATTTGATTCCGTTTTTCATATTTGCAGTAATATCAAATTTATTTGATTAGCAGAAGTCATCAACTTAAAATTAGTTAAAATAGATGAAGCAAAAAAAATACAGTTCATAGATTGAACATAAAAGAAAACCAATAGCACCCAAAATGTCTTCTTATCCTCTACTAATATTTTATTCTTGGTTTCAATACACACACCGTTTCAATACTAGTCCTATGCCAAATAATTGACTAACTTCCTCAACACAATATTAATAAAGCTCACATGTTTTTTGTAAATTATTTGAAAATAAATTATTTTTCCATTTTGTCTCTTTCAGGAAGCAATGTCATTGAAATGACACTCTGCCTACGAATACCAAAGGGAAATACATAAATTCTCAGAATTCTAGCATCTCTATGATCAGTGCCTCGTGCTCACTGAACTTTCTTTACTTTGAAATCTGCCTGTGTAGCTAGTGGAGATTAAGAATGAATCGTGACAATAAAAACAGCCATCAACTGTCAGTGTAGACACAATTTTCTCTGTAGGTGAAATGCTCTTTTGCACCATTCAAGACATTTCTATTCAAATAATATGGAATTTCTTTGTTCTTTTGATTATGTTCTTAAGAGAAGAAAAAACTCCATGAAACAGACTGCTTTCTGAGAGTACTGCTTTCGTGCCGAACAGTTGTTAAATATAATCACAAATCCATTCCTAGAAATTCTGATGTGGCTATGGCTTGGTTTAAACCAAAATGAAAATGATAAGAACCCTCAGAGGAAACCATGAACTATATTTCGTGAGCACTTGAGCCATGTCTCATATGAGAAGTCAGAGAGGTCACAGTTGTGACCTGTCTTCCGGGGACACCGGATCCGAATGTTGCCCACAACCTCCTTTGGGTAGTTTTAGTGCTGAGCTGCTGCCCCAGGTAAATAAGGTGGCTAAGGACATACTGAATATGCACTGTGGTTTTTAGGAGCTGCCTTTCTATTGGACAGTGCTTAGCAAAGCATTTGCTAAAGAGGACTTTCCCACTTGCTTTAGAAAGTGGGAAAGGTGTTTGGAGGATTAATGGCAACATGGGTTTTAATTGTAACAGACATGTTTTATTTAAACCACACCAGTTTCTGGTAAGCTCATGCATGTCAGCCAGCTTGGTTCCTTTCCAGCCAGCCAATGGAAGGAAGTGGCCATGCAACCCATTCTGCCCAGAGAGACCTTCAGGGAGGCCTTATGCTCGCAGCACAGGCTCCTTGGGTCTCAACACTGGCACCCCAAAATGGTGAAGTCTTAGCTTTGACAGCACAGTGTATTTGGAGAAAATTTTTAAGAAGTTTGCTAGCTAACAATGGCAAGGGGAAATGGAAAAAATAAGAAATAAGAATGGAAAATTAAGAAATCACAGACTCACCATAACTAACCCTAGAACTGCACCATCATTGAATTACTCAAGTTATGGGAGTTTAAACCATTCTAACAGGTTAGGCAGCTTGAATTGGGCTTTTCATTCCCCATTGCAGAAATACACACTTACTGTAAAGAAAGTTAAATGAACAGGAGGCACTGATCATAGAGATACTAAAACTCTGAAGATACATTTTTGCATCTACGGCCCCAACTACCTCTTTCTTACCCTGTACACCATAATTTGTTCATTTCAGATATTTTTCCCCTCAAAATACTCTCCCATCTTTCCCTCTTCCTCTTTTTTTCTTAATCTGTATTGAAATACAATCAAAAGTGTGTTCTCAGCTATGAAAATAGCCTCTACTGAATTCTATTTGCAACTAACAAAAAATAGCCATTTTCTTCTTTACCTGTTTCCTTAGAAAATTATCAATTTCTTGCATTAATTCAAATACCAGAGGGAGCAATAATCCCATCAACTTGAAGAGCTTTCTGGTCCAAAGACTTTTTATCTGTTTTTCTGAGCCATAAAGCATCTTCAAATTTAATTATCTGGAGCTCACTGACAGTTGACAGCTGTTAACTGAGGAAGATTTCCTTCAGAAGTGCAGAAGCCTAGGCCATTTCGTTAAAATGCTATTTAAATTGCTGTCAGTAGCCATAAGTGAACCTGAAGCTTGGGGGAAAAGTAACTTTTCTCTTTTCCAGAATAAAGACATGAGTTTAAGGCAATGAGAACTGTAGCTATGGTAATGACCCAGGTGTCTCCAATTTGGTTCCGGTCCTTTCTGACTTCAGTAAATGAAGGATTTAATGATGGGGCCACAGCTGTACAAAAAGACTGACTTAAGGATCTGGCTGCTGTGGGAAAGGGAAGTCACCACTGACGGCTCCTCATCTGAGTGGGTCAGAGCATGGCACTGTCCGATATTAACCGCGCTGTCCCCGTTTGGGCCCCAGATGTCCCTAGGGAGGTGTTCATCCACACACGCTCAACTCACTGAGAAGGGACTCAGCTGGGCACCATTCACATTAGAGGATGCAGGGATCCCATAAAGAGCAACACTGGGCTCTAGTCCCTGGGAAAATCTCCTGGGAAATGGATTTAAAAAATACGTACAGGGCTGGGGATTTAGCTCAGTGGTGCCACCACCTTCCTTGCAAGCTCAAGGTCCCAAGTTTGATTCCCAGTACCAAATGTGTGTTTGTGTGTGTGTGTGTGTGTGTGTGTGTATGCACATACAGTGTGCTTTTATCCTGAAATCCACATTATTGTAGAGCATGACAGAAAATCACGGTCCTGTCAGGCCTTCACTGCCAAGGTCCATACCGGAGGACAAGTCACAACACCGCACACCTAAGACTCACATGTTCAAGGGAACTTTTCTTTGCAAAGGAAACCACTGTGAATCTTGAAAATTGGACCAAAACGGAAAGAACAAGGTATTTCCCCAAGTGCGAACCCTAGCAACACAAGCTTCTGAGTCTACTCAAGCACAGTCAGTGGACCACGTAGCAATGACAACATAGCTCGATGTACAGTGATGTGTTTGTCACTGTCACTCTACCGCTCAATGTATGGGAACTGAGTTTTGATTTCTAAGGGCCAGTCAGAGACACTCACATTATCAGGCATACTAGACCCTCATTCTCGTGCTCAGAGGTGTCATCTTCATTAGAGCGTGTGTAGGACTCATATGAGTAATAGGAATTTGTTAAACCACCTAGGGGGCAGTGTATTCACTCAGAATCTTACACTGTCTTTGGTCCTTTATAATTCCAAATACAGTCATTGAAAATCTTCCCAGCAGTCTCTCCATTAGAAGCGCATGCAGCAGTTACTCATTCCTAATATTCCAAACTCATGAAGTGCTACCGTTTATTTTCTTGGCACATTCACACAGCCTTTTCACAGCAGTGAGGAGAGGGGACACAGATGGGGAGATAAGCCCTGAGGCAACTTGAACTCGGCTCTGTGCTGAAGCCTCAGCTCCAGAGACAGTGCGCTGACAGGGTAATTTCCTCTGCTGATCTTCTTATCTGGGAATTTTAAGTAGAGTGGTCTCAACCGGCCCATCCTCTGCCTGTGGCTCGGGAGCTTGGAAATGTGTTAGAAGCTGCACTTCACCTGTCCCCTGAGGAAAAACTGGGCAGATGTGGAGGGCAGCAGTGAAACTGCAGCAGACTGCAAGGCTGGCTCCTAATTCCTAAGTAAACGGGTGGGCCACAAGGCACGCTCTTAAAATCGACTGCTCACACCGAAGGCCCTACTAATAGCAACCATCTGGGGGTGGACGGGAGCGGCAGCTGCTGCAGGTGTCTCGCGCAGTCCTTCATTCAGCTGTCATCCACAGCCTCTGCCTCGGGTCTGACTACAACCCCAGTGCCACTCACAGAGAGAGTCATGTCCAGTGGCCGTGAATGAGGCTGCCTAGGAAGGAGGGGGAGGGTGGGCCTGCTCACCTGTCTGTGATCAGGCGGCAGCCTCCTGCCTCCTAACAGGATGGCCACAGAGCTCCAGGTCCTGTCCGGCCCAGCCTGTGCCTATGCTGAGCACTGTCGGGCAGCAGGACACCCGCAGGCTGGGACAGGAGCGGGCACCTCGCAGCCCGGTGCTGCCATTCTCCTGACCACCCGGGAGCAGTGCAGTGGCATAGAAGTGGGAGCAGACAGCACTTTCTTCCATGAGCCGGGACAGAGACGGGCCCAGGCTGGCTGGGGGCTGTGTGCAAAGAGCCTCCTCCTGGTCGGCCCCACACAGTCTGGGCTGTGCCCCTCTGCCGGGCAGGCTTCATTCTCAAGCCTCAGGATGTGGACGTCCACAGTTCTGCTCTAAACTGTCTAACTGGGCCTTCAGCCCAGCCCGATCTGGTCTGCAAAGAGCTCACCCAGAGCAGCCCACAGGACCAGTTTTCTTTGAGTTCTTGCCCTTCTGACTTGCTCGAGACATTGCATGCCTCAAAGCCCTGTCTTGCTTCTTCAGCTTCAGATCCTGCGAACATGTCACTCAAGGTCCTTCCTGCCTTTTTCTGACTCCTGGGTGTCATTTAACTCGGGCGCTTCCTCAGCCTCCCTCGGTCCCGGGGAGGCCAGGCCTCTGGCCTGCTCCTCTTCACTCATCTCCCTCTGGTCAGGACGGTGGCCTGGGAGTCCCCTGTAAATGGCCCAAACACCACAGGGTGAGGCGTGGGAGGCAGCGCTGAAGACTTGCTAAGGCAGGCCTGGCTGTTGGCTTTAAAGTTGACTTTGGGTGGGAGTAGAGTCACGGGCCCACAATGCCAATGAGTTGAGGAGGACCGAGGCAGGAGCCCGAGGCAGGAGGACCAGAGCTTGAGGCCAGTCTGAACCACTTAGCAAGGCCCTATCTCAAAAACTAAAGGGAAAAGGGCTGAAAAGTAGCTCAGTGCCTT